CCCCCCCCCCCAACTCCATTGTCACCACCTGCAGGGAGCAGGGCAGGGGAGGGGGAATAAGGCCAGTGCTGCTGCTCTTTGGTTGGGCTGATGTTCCAGCCACCAGGGAGTGAGGTGGGGGTGGGGTGAGGCCTCACCCCCCAACTCCATCCTCTGTGTCCCCATCATCATGGCGGTGGGCTGCCACCTGTCCGAATGCTTCTTCACACCCTGACTGGCTGTTTGTCAGCCAGTTAGAGTGCAATTAAAATGTTGCAGACAGACTTAGGCTTTTATAATATTAGAATTGTAGACAATACATTGGTGGATATTTATCTGATTTTTACTCTTGCTACAAAGTAAAAGTATTTCATAGCATATTATTTTATTTAAAAAAGCTACCTGGTATGTGTTGTTTTACAGTATATTTGGCAGTTTTAGGAACTGATCTATAAACAGTTAAATATTCTTTTATTTTGCAGCATATACAGTTTATGCTGCTGAGAAAGTAGCTCCTAAAACTCTATCAGATGTGAACTCTAAAGCCTTGCTGGTTTGCAGTGGACCATTGGAACACTATGACTTTCTGATCAAAGAAGAAGATCTGAGGAGTGATGAACAGCAGCGGCAAGTTGTGCAGTGTTTGCAGAAGTTACATGAGAGCTTAAAAGACTACAGTGTTAGTTCAAAAAACCTTCTATCAAAGGTGAGGCTCATGATGATAATAGCAAACATACTTTTTTCTTTATAAACTTCTGGAAACATCCTGTCTAGGTGGGTATGTTTAAAAGGGCAGTGGCAATTATATAACCAACTTTTTTCATGAGTAGATTTGGATGCAATCAAAGTTTCATAGCCTGACACTTGTTCCTACATCTATGATGTTAGTTTATAAAATGTCTATTGCATGGGAATAACCAGCTTGTTAAAGTGAAACTAAATCCAAGGTACTTTTTGCTATGTCTCCTTTTCTTGTACTTTGCTTTTGCAGCAAAAGGGCCAGATCAGTTTCAGAATGCTGATCTGCTTGGGTCGTGAACATTGCAGGCAAATACCAACTTGTTTTTGATTTTAACAAAGAAGAGGATTCTAATTCATCTGAATGTTTGTAAAATAATTTAAAACAAAAAATGAGTGAACCTAAATTATTTCCATATCCATAACAGTACCATAAATGAGTATGGTACTGCATGAAGCAATTAAGTCCTCAACACTGACAAGTGCAAAGTGATGCACCTGGGGAGGAACAGCCAGCTCCATACCTACAGGTTGGGGAACTCCCCTCTTGTCAGCATGGAGGCAGAAAAGAATCTTGGAGTCATCATTGACTCCAAGATGAGCATGGGCCGGCAGTGTGGGGATGCAGTCAGGAAGGCCAACTGTACCTTGTCATGCATCCACAGATGCATCTCGAGCAGGTCCAGAGAGGTGATCCTCCCCCTCTATGCGACACTAGTCAGGCCGCCGCTGGAGTACTGTGTCCAGTTCTAGGCACCGCACTTCAAGAGGGATGTGGACAACATGGAGAGGGTCCAGAGGCGGGCCACTCGTATGATCAGGGGGCAGCAGGGCAGGCCTTATGAGGAGAGGCTACGGGACCTGAACTTGTTCAGCCTCCAGAAGAGAAGGCTGAGGGGGGATCTAGTGGCCTGTTACAAACTAGTCAGGGGGGGGACCAGCAGGCATTGGGGAAGTCCCTGTTCCCCCAAGCACTGTCAGGAGTGACCAGGAATAATGGTCACAAGCTGGTAGAGGGTAGATTTAGGCTAGATATCAGGAGGTGCTACTTCACGGTCAGGGCGGCTAGGATCTGGAACCAACTTCCAAGAGAAGTAGTGCTGGCTCCTACCTTTGGGGGTCTTTAAGAGGAGGTTAGATGACAACTTTGCTGGGGTCGTTTGACCCCAGTAATCCTTCCTGCCATGGCAGGGGGTCGGACTAGATGATCTACTCAGGTCCCTTCCGACCCTAGAAACTATGAAACTATAAGTCCTACAGTTAGGCAGTTGTAGACTATGATATACTTGAAACATTATGGGATAAAAATAAATAGAAGGTGAAAAGGAGAAAGTTTTGTAGAGCAAGGATTACACCAGTGAAAGGTTAGCGCAGTGTTTGTTCTCAGATGCACATCTGTAACGGTATAAAACCTTGGGGTATATGTGTGTGTTCCAGTGTACCTGTTGCATTCCTTGGGCCCCAAGCCCTGTCACTGCAGGTCACATTTTACCAGTCATGTGCCATTTAGGAAATAGCATCTGCGTCTCCTGCAGCTAGAGCAGAGGTTAGCAGGCAGCAGAAATACGTCATCAAAGAAAGACCTGGAAGGAGGCTCTCTGCTCCTTTTGTGAGGAAGCAGGTGTCAGCTGGTGGTAAACCTCAGCTGGGGAGGATGATGAAGCCCTGAAAAGAGGGATGTAAAGATTATGAAGCAACAGGGACAAAAGGGCAAGACAAGACCCTGAGGATCACTTAGTGTATTTTGGCTTGTGTGGCTTTGAATCTTCGTTAAAGAGGGCTCTGAGGAGATAACTGGTGCTCTGCAGGTGTTTGGAACATATCTTGACCTTTGCCAGCTGTTGGATCAGCCTACCCCTTCACAGTGCCTTGTTGCTTTCTTTGGGATTTATTTGAGAAAAAAACTGGTATATTATACATGTAGAGACTTTATTACAAGTTAATGTGCGTTGCCTGAAAATGTATGTCTGTGCTATTTTTGATGTTTCTTTTGTAGGTGATATATGCCCAGGGATGGTAACTACCTTGAGGCCTTTGAAACGCACTACTTTTGACTCTAAACCTAAATATCTGAAAATCAGTTTTGGCTACTAGTAGAGAAAGGGAACATTGTCATTCTTAAAAATACCCCCAAAAACTATTGCGTGTTCAGGGGAAGCAAATATTCCAAGTGTCTACTATTTCCAGTTAGTTGAGGGGAAACTGTTCCCTATTGAGCCACTTACTGACATTTCCATTTAGTTGTACTCCTCTGTCATTCTGGAAAGGTTAGTCTCTTTGCTAATCACAGGAAAGGCAAAATAATTCACTCTAGTGACTTCAAAAACAAACTATCAAATATTGTATCAGCGTATTTAATAAAATTGATGGCCATCTGAGAACACCTAAAAATTGATTTTTCTGTTCTGAACTTAAAATATTAAAGTTGAAATATTATAGGCCTTTGGGAGACTTATTCCTTTCCAAGGGTACAGCATTTCTGTTTATGTTAAACAAAAGCTTCTGAGAGTTAGTAAGGCTCCCTTTTTTTGTAGGTAGGCTACACTTGTCAGACTTAAAATTTGCATGAGCTGTTCATCTTCCACTGAGCTTCCCAACAGGTGGCCACAGATCTATTTTTGAGTTTTCAGCTTCAGTGCATGCTGTCTGTGTCTCATCATCATCAGTTCTAAAGTCCCCATCCCTATCATTTTTTTTTCAAGCCCTGTACATGCATTAGAAGAGAAGAAAGTGGGGAATACTGGGAAGGGAAGCTGGTTCTTTGCCCTGCTTTGGGTTAGTTGGGCTTAGGGACCTAACTAAATCATGGCAAGATGAAGTGATTTTTTTCATGGCGTGCGGAGACAATTTTGCATTCTTTTCATGGCAAGCCCTCCTTCACCACTGATTGTCCGTGGGTCCCTGATGGTCCCGTGCCTCGTCATTGATTGGCCAAGAAGCCAATTAGTCATCATTAGATTGCAGCATTGCTGCAGCATTGCACCTCTCTTCTTAAAAGCTGGCACCAAAACCCTTTTGCTTGTCTGACTGGTGCCTTCTCTAAGTCAACATCAGTAGCTCAGCCTCTCAGTAGCTCTCTCTCAAACTATGTGCTTTATGGCTGCAGGGATTGCAGTGCTTGTTTTCTGATATGCTTTTTTTCCCCAGGCAATTCTATGCAAAATCACAGGAAATACCATTTTCTTGGCGATTTGCGGAAACCACTTTTTTCATGGTTTCCATGAAAATTGTAAAACCACAATTTAAATAGGTCCCTAGACATGCCTCTGTATCTTTTAAACATGCTGTCTTCTGTTTTTTCTTTCTTTTTTTGTTTTTATTTAAAAAATGCAGTGGGAAGAGCTGAGTCTTATTGGTCATGTTTATATTGCCTTCCCTCCAAGCCTGGAACTGCTACTGAGAAATAAAGCCTATCCACTTGCTCTTAATATGTATGCCCCATGCCCTGCAATTAGGCACTGTAGACAGGTGCAGAGTAGCTGGGAGATTGTCCAGAAGCCTTGGAAGTACTGTTAAGAGAACTTTATTTTCAACACCTGACATTTATACCTAAGCTCTCTTAATGAGAATATCCTGAATGATTGTATATACGTAATTATCTCTTTAAGGGCTGTATAAATCTGGACCAGAATTTGAAGGTGCCAGTAGTGATGGGGGAAGAAAGTCTGTTTTTCACAGAACAAAAATAATACACTGCTTAGAATATTGTACACAGTTCTAGCTTCTCTTTTTTCTGGTAAAACTAGTCTAGCTTTGAGGTGACAAACGTTAAATAACAGGATGTGGTCATCATGGGGGACCTGAACTTTCCAGACATCTGGGAAGAGCAGTCAGCCAGGTCTGACCGCTCACGTAGGTTCCTAGCCAGAATGCAGGACCTCCATCTAACCCAGGAGATGCACAGCCCCACCAGGGGAGATGCCTTGTTGGACCTGGTGCTGGCCATGGGCGATGACCTGCTCAATTACCTGGGCGACAGTATCATTGCCCGCTGGAATTCATCCAGCGCAAGGTGGGAAAGGCCTACAGCAAGGCAGCAGCCCCAGATTTCAGGAGGGCGGACTTCAGTGAGCTAAGGAGTATAGTCAGGGAAGCACTGAGGTCCCAGAGGGGAGGGGAGCCAGGTGTTCAAGAAGAGTGGTTTCTCCTTAAGGAGACGATCCTTGAAGCCCAAAGGGAGGTAATCCCAACATGGATCAAAGGTAGCAGGAGGGCACAAAAGCCCCCATGGCTCACAAGCATCCGGGAATGTCTCCTAGCTAAAAGGGAGGCGCACACCCAATGGAAGGGAGGGGCCATCACCAGGGAGGAGTATACTGCCGTTGCTCGGGGATGCAGGGGGGCGGTCAGGAAGGCAAAGGTGGAGATGGAACTGGGACTAGCTTCCCGGATCAAGGACAACAAGAAGTCCTTTTTTAAATACATTGGGGGCAAAAAGAAGGTTCCGGGTAATGTGGGGCCCCTACAGGACACACTAGGAAATTTGGTTGTCACACCAGACGACAAAGCCAACATATTTAACGATTTCTTTGCCTCCATTTTCCTGAGCAGAGACTGGAACAGTCACCACCCCCCCCATGGGCCCCCCTCAGGCCCCAGGGGAGGCGCACCTAGGCCGAGGGTTAGTGTGGAACTAGTTAGGGAACTTCTGGAAGGACTGGATGTATTCAAATCAGCTAGTCCAGACGATCTCCACCATGGAGTACTGAGGGAGTTAGCTGAGGTCATTGCGGGACCCCAGCATGGCTTTACGAACACTTGTGGTACTCTGGTGTGGTGCCAGAAGACTGAAAGAGGGCCAACGTGGTTCCCATCTTGAAAAAGGGGAGGGAGGACCCGGGAAACTATTGGCCAGTTAGTCTTACCTCAATCCTGGGCAAGCTTTTTGAGAAAATTATTCTGGCACATATCCACGAAGGACCAGCAGGGGAGAGTATGCTTAGGGGCTATCAACATGGGTTCATTAGC